TCTCTCTCTCTCTCTCTGCCCCTGCCCTGCTTGCTCATGCTTTCTCTCTCTCTCTCTCTCTCCCTCTCAAAATAAAGTAAATAAAATTTATTCTTAGTTCATGATCTAAGCTTTTCTCACCATTAGTCACAAGTATCTTCTTAATCACTGCTTTCCTGTTAAGGACAAAGTGTCATTCCCTAGTCATTAGCCTACTAAGTAGAATCTGGAATTTGGGATCAACCCCTGCCCTGATGCTTTCCAGCTGTGACCTTGGGCAAGTCACATGATATCAGAGTCTCAGGATGCTCATTTGTAAAATAGTGATAAGAATTCTTTTTCTGCATCCCTCACAGGGCTGGTGTGAACCTCAAATGAGATTTGAACACGAAAGAATTATAGGAATGTCAAAGCATCTTCTATATAGCCTTATTCCAGGCTTCTTCTGTTGTGTCCATTTTTGAAAAGCATATCAACAATCTAATGATCCTTCACTGAATATTTCTGGTCAGCCTATTCTATGCTAGGCTGAGCCTTGAAGATGTACAGATAAGGAAGAACTTGACCCTGCCCTCAGGGCAGAAAAAAATGTAGAGAATTACAATGTGATGTAGTATACGTACAAAAACTGTGGGGTGGAATTAGCAGAGAGGGTAGAGACCAGCCCTGCTGGTTGGGGTTGGAGGTTGGGGCAGTGGGAGAGTCAGAGAAGGCCTCCCGCAAAAATACCAACAGTGCAGGTCTGGGGGAGAAGAGGTATTTCAGGGAATGGCTTGCAAAGTGTGATGACATACAGCAGCATGGAAAAGTTAGGGAGCTTAAATAAATATGGGTGAAGGACCCCTAGGAAAGGAGACTATAGACAGGTCGGTAGAGGAGGAAGGCAGAACTTTGTGTGCTCTGCTAGAGCTTGGATTTTCTTTCCTATAAGTTCAGGAAGTCATGGAGCAGTTTAATCAGGACAATAACTTAATCAACTCTGGGCTCTGGAAAATTCAGTGTGGGGGAAAATATAGAGGAGGAAATATTTGGGGCAGAGGCAGCAGGGCAGTGGGTGGAGATAAGAAGACCAGTTAGGAAACCTCTGTAACCAATGCAGATGTGTGATGAAAAGGAGCTGCACTAGAAGATAATAGCACTAAGAAGAATAAAGACATTTTTACAAAATTTGTGTACATTAAAGTAAAAGAACTTTTTTAAAGTGGAAGAACATCATGAATACACTGGAGAATTATGGTATTTGAAGGTATCATATCCTCTTGTTAATATAAAGGTATGTACATACACACACACACACACACACACACACATTGTCACACTCAAATTCCTTAAGTTGGCCTTCAGGTTTTCTTCAATTTGGAGAACTATACAATTGATGGTTAACAAAGTGCAGTGTTTAAAATTTCTGAGTAACCCATGTTACAGTTTTGACATCTAAAGAGGATAATGGACAAAGCTTTCACCGAGTATTTATTAACAAATAGGAAAGTGGCAGTCTCTGCTCAGATTTTGATGACCTTTTGCTTAAAACTTGGTTTCTCTGTGGAATGCATCATGATTTATGTATTTTTTCTGTCTTTCTTTCTTTTTTTTTTTTTTTTCCAGAAACCAGTCTAAGCATTAAGGAACCGAATCCAGTTCCTCCACGTAAGTCTTTATGCATCTGTTTTGAAATGAAGCCTCCTGGGCTTTTTATAAGAATGAGTTGGTTATGGAGCATTTGGCAAACTTTGAGTTTTGATAAGGAGACTTCTGCTCCCATTCCCCTTCTCCCCCATTTTTTCATAATCTCATACTTTCTTTTTCCTTTCCTCTGTCCTTCCTTCATCCTTCTGGGTTTTTTTCCCCTGTCTGCCTCTTTTAAATATGAATTTGTTGACCCACTGGCATGTGTGGCCTTACTTAGCTTTAGAGAGAAGAGTTCATTATTTGCATACCTGTATCAGCTGTGATCTAAAAGCATTAACTTACAGCTATGGGAGTGGTTTGCTTATGCATCATCAACAGTAATTACCTGCTCAGAGAAGTAGGGCTAAGGGAACTAGTTGCTGGGTCTTCTAGACAGTCTCTAGTCCAAGGGGGGCGAGGGGCGGTTATGGAGGCCCTGGGGGGACATGTGTGAAAAAAAGAGAGAGAGCAACTGCTACAACATGATGCATTGGAAATCGTCCGGGCCAATTTTGTCACTCGCTCTGGACGAAAACTCTAACCAAAAGATTTAGGTAGATTTGCCTGTGGTTATAATTGGCAGTCAGACAGGACTAGAGCCTGGGCTTCCTGCTGTATACCCAAGAAGCTCTTCTAGATGGTGTTGCCTTGTGAAGAGAATCTCTGCTTTTTTTTTTTTTTCTTCCCTACGACTGTCTGGGTCAGTCTCCATTACTGACCCCATCACATTACACATGAAGATCTAGTGAGTTCCTTTATGCAAAGCACTATACTGTTCTAGTTAAGGATCTTACTTGAACAATATTGTGGAACATTATCATGAACCCACAAAGAGACACATATGGACGCATTTCTCTCATACTTACCCAGTCTAATTTTCATAAATGACATCTCTATTTTTAGAATTTCGGAGAAGTTTTACTAAAAACTTTCATTCATGCCTCTCTTTTGCATCTGTAAGCATAAAAAGGCAAATCATCTTTTAATACCTGCAGACTAGACTAAATTGTGTTGATGACTTGGTTCATCTTAACCTCTAGAGTTCTTCCCAGTTCTTACTCCTTCCTCAGGATCCCAGACCTTTTACAAACTCCTTTTCTTCACTTCCTGCCTTCAGCAGGTGAAATAGTGCAATCCCCATTTTCCAGAAGTTAACACACCAAAGAACACATGGCCTAGAAGAGTAGCCACCAGGTTGGGAATTCCTAATTTCTAGAATCGTTGCCAGCATGACCTACTTTTCCTGAGCCCTTACGAGTTAGTTCTGGGGCTACTCAGGGAGTCATATTTGTCTACAATTAGATCTTTTACACTGAAGTGAGATGAAAGGCAAAGTGATTTAATTCATATGGAGATCAGCTGGAGTTGCTTCTGACTGGAGAGGAACATGGTATTGAAACATTGGGGAGATTGTACACCTTAAATTTATATTAAAAAAAAAGACACCTTGGAAATTTTATCCTATTGAAAACCGTTCTCTCTTAGAAAGTGATTTTAACTTTTTATAAGTGATTCAAAGAAGGTGGTTCTCAGGAAATGTTCTATTTCTGTAGCCTGGAATTAATTTCAAGTATAAACATCTTTGCCAAGTGGAGGAACAATTGGTTCTATTTATGTGTTTTGCTGACCATAAAACTGACATCCCTCCACACCGAGACATGTTTCCGTCCCCCTGGTAGAAAGATCACGGTTGGAAAAGTGTTAAAGAGTAGGTTGTTTTAAATGATACAGTACATAATTGTTAAGATGGAGGGTTTGAGCTGAGACCACTGAAAAGTTAAAATCTATAGGAAGAGTCGATCCTTACCTCATGTTTCCTCCTTGGCACTCCCTTTCTTCCGGTCATCTCTCATACTTGTAAATGTTCATGAAAACATGTTTGTAGAGTATTTGAAGTGTGTTTTCTCGTATCATTGTTCAAAGTGTTTGCTGTGGGTCACATTTCGATCATGGAAGTTCATTTTCCAAAGCATCTTCACACGGAGGCTGCAAACTGAGGAGGATATCTTGGAAATCAGATCATTTTATTTTCCTTTTGGGGGAAAAAAACATGCAAGTTTCAAATACATTGCATTTTCTTGGAATCCTCATTTCACCCTTGTTTTATTAGTTAGGGCTCAGCCTTCCCAACAGTGCTTGTGGCACAGATACAAAATTGTAACGTATAATGCAGATCCACTGAAAGTATGCATTGACTTCCCTTCCTTTGTAGAGATCTTCCATGGTCTGGACACCCTCACCGTGATGGGCATCGCATTTGCAGCATTTGTGATCGGAGCACTCCTGACAGGGGCCTTGTGGTACATCTATTCTCACACAGGTGAGTGTGACTGTCAGATAGTAGTTGCTGTGAATCCTGTATGTCTGCCACACAGGCAACCTTTCAGGGTTTTGTTGCATGAATGGATGGACTCACGAATGAGAAAGAAAGTTCATCCCTACCGTTTGCACATGAATGTATTTGGCATAAATGGGGTTTTACAAAAATACGGTGTGCCTGAAGTACCATTAGAAAAGGAATGCTCAAGGTGCCTGGGTGGCTCAGTCGGTTAAGCATCCGACTTTAGCTCAGGTCACTATCTATCCCTTTGTGGGTTCAAGCCCCTCGTCGGGCTCTGTGCTGGTGGCTCAGAACCTGGAGCCTGCTTCAGATTCTGTGTCTCAGGCTTTCTCTGCCCCTTCCCTGCTAGTGCACTCGCTTACTCGCTCTTTCTCTATCTCTCTCTCTCAAAAATAAACATTTTAAAAAAAAAGAGAGAAAGTAAAGAAAAGGAATGTTCAAACTATGTTAATTGCAATTGAAATGTTGGTCAAGTTTAGCTACTAATAAAGCTATTTTGTGGTTAGGGTTGAATTAAAGACAATTAATGTAGACAAACCAGAAATACAAACCCTTCCCTCAAAGCTAAACACTTCAGTGCAGATATATGAATGGGCAGGAAGTGAAAAAGGAAGCGAAGATTTTATTATCCTCTCTGCTAAGATGTTGCACACTGCCCACCAGAATCCCGTGTCTCGGTGGCTTACACCAGAATTTCTTGACCCTTTTAAAACCCATGCCATGCCCTCTTTGATAAGCATAAATTTCTCATGTCTTTCTTCCATAAAATTGTTTAAATTTTTAAAATATATTTTCATGAGGGGCACCTGGGTGGGTCAGCTGGTTGAGTATCTGACTTCAGCTCAGGTCATGATCTCACAGTCCATGAGTTCGAGCCCTGTGTCGGGCTCTGTGCTAACAGCTCAGAGCCTGCAGCCTGCTTCAGATTCTGTGTCTCCCTCTCTCTGCCCCTCCCCTGCTCATGCTCTGTCTCAAAAATAAATTAAAAAAAAAAAAAGTTAAAATATATTTTCATGATTTGCAAACAAATAAAAATGGTGAAACAAGGCACTTTGTTTTCAAGCTGTGCTCCTCCTTCCCCAACATTCTGATATGCCACGCCCCCCCTCTTTCCCCTTCCCCTCAATCCCAAGGTTGAAACATTCTGGCCTGAACAGAGAACCTGTTCTGACCCCAGTACAGAATGCAGGCCTGGCAAGGGGCGAGGCTAGTGCGATGGGGGAGGAACAAATGGACCTTCCTTCTGTTGCTTCTTTCTTAGTTTCCTTGCAGATAGACATAGGAAAGAAAGACATGCATTTTGGGGTATGTCTAGAGAGCTACTTAGGCTTATGTGTCCTTGGATACTTTGAGTTTATACTATGAACCTAGGTAAATTGTGCTTGATTGATCAGCCCGAGGCCAGTGGCAGGTTCAGCCTTTCTATTTAGAATTTCATTGATTTTCCATTGAACGAATGAGCGCCATGATCTCTGGCCTTACCGTGGGCCATTCAACCAGACAAGCTAAAAAGATGACTGCTTTAAAGGGAGACGAAACACAGAAGGGCATTTTGAGAAGTCACCTCTTAATCCCTAAGCAGAATTTTTACTTCAAATACTGCATCCTCTGGCTGAGATATTTTAGATTATGGCCGAAGGAGATCAGATCTATTTGTGCCTAGCATGGAAAGTCACACAATCCAAAGCAAAAGCTTAGGAGTTGTGATAGTGGAGCTTTGAGTCCTCAAACTATTGTTCCCAATTGGCGATGTTTGAGTGAGGTATATATCATGTGAGAGAGAAAATGAGACTCTTAATCCTAAATGTAATGATTCTGAGGATATACAAACCGCTGGGAATCAATTTAGGCATATTCTTCCTCATGAACAGTTCATATAAGCACCAGAAGGGACGGCTTTTAGCAGAGTAGTATTTTAGAGTAAGTAATTTGTCAGAGGCGTACTGACATGTTCAGATCTCACGCTAGCAGTTCCTTTTAATCTTTCCCAATCTCCTGCCTGGCTGTGAGGTTCTAGGGCCGTTGGCAGCTGATGCTGTATTTTGGGAATGAACTTGGAACTACGCCAAAAAGACTCTGTCGCCCTGAGGATTTTATATGGGCTGGTTATCCACCTATGCTTAACATGTGCCTGCTGAGAGCAATGACTGGCCTTGGCCATGGAGCTACACCCTCAACCCTGCAAGTTCATCTCAGGCCGGGTAGGGCCAGGCAGCCAGGTCCAGGCAGTATCGGGCTACCACATGGCACTCACTATTGGCACACACCCCACTAAACTCACTCCGATAATCCCAGACTCTTGCGCACAGCCATGGTCACAAACCTGATAAAAAGCAAAGCTTGGTTTCATGGCATTTATTGGTCTGCTCATTAAATTCCAAGGTTTGTCGTTCCTGCTCCCTTCTCCCACAAACCAGACACTGAAGGGGAGGAGTTTTTACATTTTGTTAATATAGAAATAGGTTTGGAAGTAGATTAAAGAAAAACAAAGCCAAAAACCCTTCCTGTTATGGTTTCCAAAGCAATATAAATTACACTGATTTGGAAGTTAAAAGGTTTATAGACACTGTCATTTGGGCTCTAACCCTGCTAGCATCACATATGATACAGCTTCAGAATGACTTTTTATTAAAAGCTGTAGCCTCTGGTTCATTTTAAAGACTTCTCATAAGGAAAACCAACATCATATAAGTGTGAAAAAGGCCCACTTCAGAACCCAGTCGTACTATCCTGTCCAGAACTCCTTCAGTTTCCTACGTGGATCAGCTAGCAGCACGGTTAGATGAAAAGAGATTCTAATGCAGTAGTCAATGGAGAGAGGTATGTATACACAGACTCAATGCATTCAACATCCACAATAGTCTAAGCTGTGAAACTCAGACTTTGTATGGTATATTTGGGGGTTCAAGCAGCATCTGCCTCTGTGTCAAAAACAGCCCCTAATTCAGACAAATTCTCTTTATGTTCTTCATTTCCATCCGAGCACAGAGCACCAAACCAAGTCATGTGTTTGAATTGTGGATACATACTTCCATACCTGGAACGTGTGTTAGTCTAAAAAAGCTGGGTCCGTCCTCTGTCATATCACAGCTTTGGGCGCCATAAGCAATACCTCCTGAGGGCTATATTAACTCTGAAAAACTCCATTCCTAAAATTTACATTATCTACTAAGATACCACAAAAAGGAGTAACAGTCAGAATAGAAATGGTGCTGGAAAGGAACCATAGAATCTTCATGCTTCTGCGAGTCTGACTAGTGCAGGAGTCCCAAACTTGTAGTTCTTAAAGGTCCCAAAAATCCTATGCAGAATTGTATCTGTCATTTTTTTGATGTGAGGGGCAAAAGTATTTACTTGTATTTTTTAGTAAAACTTTTTAGCCCTATTACAGTAACATATGCACATAGCTTAAAGACTGAAATAGTTCTACAAGACTTATTAGAAGAACATGAGCCCCCTACTGCCCCACTCCCTTTTCTTGCTCCTCAGAGCACCATTCCTGACTCTTAGCTGATTGTTTTGGACATTAATCTATATATTGAAATAATAGAAGTATAGTATTGCAACTTCTTGACTTAACAGCTTTAGGCTTTTTCTTTCAACAATGGAAAATGATAATTCAGTTCTTTGTCATCACTGTGTCCCAATTATACATTCATACGCCCCTGATTGTCCCCCAACCCTGCCATCCTCTTAACAGAATTATAGTCAAATTTTGGGTAGATCAGTATTTATTGTTTATATTATAACTACCTAAATGCTAATCACAATTTAGCTATATAGTATATTATTGTTTCTCCTGTATGATTTTTAATTTTCCCTAGAATTGATGATTATCTCTCCCCTCCTTCCCCACATTAGTTTTGTTTTTTAACCCCTTTTTAATGTTATTATTTATTTATTATTTGAGAGAGCAATACTGCTCACATGAGCAGGGGAGGGGCAGAGAGAGAGAGAGAGAGAGAGAGAGAGAGAGAGAGAGAGAGAGAATGAATCCCAAGCAGGCTCCACACTCAGCACAGAGCGTGATATGCAGGGCTCCAACCCATGACCCTGGGATCATGATCTGAGCCCAAACCAAGAGTCAGATGTTCAACTGTCTGAGCCACCCAGGCAGCGGGCTTAGTTTTCTGTACGCTTCTCACTAATTCATCTGTTGACCCTCTGCCAGTTGTCTCAGTCTCTTCTGAATGCATTCAGACAACAGTATTCCACTGATTCATTTTCTTCACTAAATCTTTCCCGGAGCCTTTTTACCTGTTCATGTCTGAACTGGCTGCCCTCTATATTGGACACTGTTGTCTTCTTATATTCCTTCACTACTGTTCTGGGAATTCCCTGCACCTTGGGAGTTTTGAATGGCCTGTGTCATTCATTCCATGTCTTCTCCTCCGTTGTTGAAAGGGTACATAAGAAGTAAATGTTTGTCACACCTTGCATATCTGAAAATATCCTCAGTTTATACAAACACTTGGTGGACAGCTTGGCAAGGTACAGAATTTTAGGTCATAAATAATTTTTCTTTAGAATCTTAGAAGCACTCCTCATTGACTTTTGGCTCTGAAGATTGCTTTTGGGAAACTCAGAGCCATTCAAATTGCTGGCTTGTTTTGTTTGTTTTGTTTTCTGGGAGAAATTTTACAATGACAGTCTTTGACTTAGGTGGATTTCATACATTATGGAGCTCTTTCAGTCTAGAAATTCATGTCTTCCAGCACTGAGGTTTTTGGAATCATTTGTTTTTACTCCTATTTTCTCTGTTCTCTCATTCTAGAAATCATTATAAAGATGAACCTCTTGAATGATTCCCCAATTTTCCTTTCTTTTCTGTTTTCTGCTTTTTTCCTTAATTTTCAAAGAGATTTCATCATCTTTATCTTTTCGTTTCCTACTGAATTTTTAACTACTGCATTCAAATGTTTCAATTCCAAGCCATTTTTCCTATGAATTAAAAATATATATCTTATTCCTATGGGTGT